AAACATCGTCGGTGCTCTGCAAAGGAGGAGAGGCCGTCGTCCAAGAAGGCGAAACGAGAACGGCGATCATCAGATTTGGCGGAACCTCTACTCAATCCGAATCCGAGGTTGTGGATTCCACCTCAAGCCGAGAAACGATCTCACTCACGACTCTACAACCCTGCCGACGGCAGCAGCCTACGCACCGCCGAAGCCTTCCCGGAAGAAAAAAGCAGAGCTTATTTCTGCGTGGGAGCTTCTCAAGGCTACTTGATCTTCCTACAGTACTTTGCCTCTTCCGAATCTCCTTGCTTCATCCCTTTCCTTCTCAACCCTATCGCCGGAACCCACAAACACCCGCTCCCTAAAATCGACGTTAACGTATTCGATTCCCCCTGTTTCAAGAACCACGCCGGAGAATTCACCACGGGGATGATTCGCGATAGCCTAGTTCACAAGGCCGTCCTGACATCCGACCCGAGCGACTGTGAGAGCTCGGGTCGATTCACTGTGGTTTTGCTCGGGGGCGAAGAGGGCAGCAGGAGGATCTCAATTTGTGCGCCGTTCAGCGACTTTCGGTGGTCGGAACTGGACAGGGCGGATTCGGCGCCGTACCGCGACGTGTGTTGTTCGTCGGACGGATTCCTGTTCGCATTGGGAGGGAATTACTCCGTCGATGTCTGGAACATGAGGTGGGGGGAGGACTCTGATTCGCCGGAGAAAGTGGCAAGCTTGGCGATGTCGGTGCCAGATCCGTTTCCGGTCGGGGAAACGGATTCCTGCGTGTCAAGATTCTATCTTGTGAACGGTGATGTCGACGCCGTGCCGATGTTGGTGGCAAGGATTGTGGGGGAGTTTGTCGACGGGGAAGGGAACGTGGTTTGCGACCCGGAGATGGAGCCTCCGGAGGATGGATCGAACCACCCGGCGGTTTGTCCCTACCGGACGGTCGGGTTCGAGGTCTACGCGATGGACGCTGATAGGAGGAATTGGGTGCGGGCGGCGAATTTGGGCGGCGGCGGTGAAGAGCAGAGGAGAGCTCTGTTTTTGGGCGGGAACCACTCTGTTTCTGTCCCCGCCGGCGGCGGGATTGCGGCGGACAGCATTTACTACACGGACGATTACTGGGAGCGGATGGATGAGGATTACTTGTACGGAGGGCACGACAATGGGGTTTTTCGGTTGAGAGACGGCGTGATTGGAAGGCTTGATGGCGAGTTTGAAGAAGAGGATAGATTTGACCCGCCGCCGAGCTGGCTTGTTCCCAGAACCGCCGCGAAGCTCCAGTGGTTCTGAGTGAGTGCTATAGTTAGTATGAGTGGTGTAGTTTTCATATCGTATGTATTAAAATTTGAGTATTGAGTTTCTAATTTGTAGTTCAGTGATGTATTCAAATCGTTAGTGAAACTTTCATAAGAACAAAGTTAAAGTATCAATATGAAAAAAGCAACGGTAAATACTGGATGGGAACTAATTTCCAACATGTCAAAAGCCTACAGTTGCAGCCATATGTTATCTTTTTTGGTTAAAACCTCCCCGTGTTTTTTATTATTGAACAATACTCTTAATACACGTCATATTCCACGGTCATGAAGCTAGGATGTGGCAAGTATATCTTGAACACGGAAGAGGATATGTCACATAATCTTATGGTTAGTAACCTTGTATAACCCTTCATTTATCACGTATGAAAAGCATAATAGAACACGTATAACACACACATAGGATACACTTCCTCACCTCACTCTCCACCATCCTCCTTCCCCCTACATTGCCAACCAAAATCCGAGATGCGAGCTAGACGTGGAGAGAGAGGGAGAGAGATACAGAGTAGTAACATCGAGGTTGTGCTAATAGACCCATTGGATAAACTGTTGAGTGCACGAGGAAAGAAAATGGGTTAGCTGCGAAACTTCACAACAAATTATTTGCACATTTTGTCATGAAACCTCATTCGATTTCGAGTTTAGGCAATCAACCGTCAATATAATAAAACTCCACTTCCAATGAGAATCTGTCTCGCCGCTGTTGGTAGAGGGAGTCATCATTGGGTTCGACTCTATTTTCAAAAAAAAAAAAAAAGAGTTCGACTCTACAAGCAAGCATGGAATGATTTTCCGGAAAAAATCCCAAAGTACACACGTTCTTAAAAAAAAATCCCAAAATACATAAGTTATAAAAAAAATTTCAAAAGTACACATGTTTGAGCATCACCGTTTTTGACAAAGGTGATGAAGGTTATCACCGCGTTTAATAAAAACGGTGAAAATTTCACCGTTTTAAACTAAAACGGTGATGACTTCACCGTTTTAGTCTAAAACGGTGAAGTCATCACCGTTTTAAACTGAAACGGTGAAGTCATCACCGTTTTAATCAAAAACGGTGACCACTTCACCGTTTTAGTTGACCACGGTGAAGTCGCTGACGTGGACAGACGCGGGGTATTCACCGCGTTAGACAAACACGGTGAATACCCCGTGTTTGTTTACGTCAGCGATCCGCGTCATTGTGCTTTCACCGTGGCCGTTAGATGCGGTGAGCCGCGGATCGTGGTTTTCTTCCCACGATCCGACGCCTCACAGCACGCCACGTGGACTCGGGGAACCGTTTTTGGTTAATGCGAGGCCTTCACCGCGTTCATCAAACGCGGTGAATGCTCCCCCCTAATTACTGCGCAGCAGCTCCTCCCCCCATCCCCCAACTATAAATACCCCCTTCCCCCAACTATAAATACCCCCTTCCCCTTTCACTTTCAACTCACACCACAAACATTTCACTTCTTTCTCCCTCAATTTATCCGCTCTAGTCTCGTTCTAAGTATGCTCTGTGGTTGCGGCTAAGTCCGATCTTCCACATCAGAAAGAATTACTAGAGTTTGACCCTAAAGCCCCCGTCCCGCTAAGAATTACTAGAGTTTGACCCTAAAGCCCCCACTGGCATAGGGACAAAGTCGGGGGGATCATTCTGACTATGTAAAAATTGAGTTGGAACCTGTGTGTAATATGGCGTGGGTGCCTCACGAAATGCCGCCTCATCCTCGTTATCATCAGTATCTTCCTCCTCCTCGCTCACTGATCTCAAATCTTCCTCAGTATCCTCGTCGCTCGACTCGAATGGATAGCTCGGGCTAGAAGGATCAACATGACCACGATCACCAACATCGTCCTCTCGCTCATGTGAAGTACGCCCTGATCGAATGGTATTCTCGATTTCAGACCACTCTGGCCCCCAAGCAGGCCATTGAACACCATCGGCCTCAACAAATGGGGCTGGTTGAGGAGGTTGCGAGTATTTGTCCCATCCTGCACTACTCGATCCACCGTAGTTGATTGAACCACCACCCTCCCCGTAACCTCCTGTATAACCACCGCCTTGGTAGTTGCTCGAACTACCACCCCATTCGTACCCTCCTGCAAAACCATCATCATAAGAATACTAGTGAGAATGAGATTCACCGACCGCCTCGGTCTCAACATACACCTCTGCAAGCCGGACTTGGTTATCGCTTAGGAACTGTAACATCATCGTAACCGCGTCATCATCATTTATGACAACTTCTTGGAACACGACCCCGCCAGCACTCATGTCTGGATACCGGTAAGTAATTTTGCCAAGTCTCGTCTGTCCGCTCGTACAAACCCTTTCTGCACAAAGATCACAGAGTTCTTGAAAATTGAATCGGGAATCAATTTTCAGCATAATGGATTCGCCGTCCTCATAATCAATGCCTATGTCAGAGTTTGTCACCCTTCCATTCCACCGAATAGTAAGATGAAACTTCTTGAATTTACCCATATCTACAATTTACAATAAGTATCTATTAGCTTAAAGACAGTAAAATTAACCAAAATCATATTGTACAACTAACATTAAATCATACCATAACTAACGAAAATAAATTCAACTAACTAACAACAACATAATACGAAAATTAAATCATACTATAACTAACGAACATAAGTTCAACTAACTAACAACAACATAATACGAAAATTAAATCATACTATAACTACTAAAAACATAATTAGACTATAATACGAAAAGTCTCAACATACCGAAAAATTTCTGTTCTGTGTATTATGCTCGATTTTGGCTGCTGAAATTTGAAGAAAGGGGAGTGGTTATGTTTTTACAACTGCTGGTGATGTTCTATTTATAGGAAAATCTGCCTACTATTCACCGTTTTTGTCCAAAACGGTGAACACCATCACCGCGTTTGTGTCAAACGGTGAATAGTTGGTAGCTGCGACCTAATTTTGACCTACCAGGGGTGGGAAACGTGGGAAATGATCACCGCTTTAAACTAAAACGGTGAATGAGTTCACCGTGTTTAACCAAAACGGTGATGTATTCACCGTTGTTAACAAACGCGGTGAACTCTTCACCGTTTTAGTTTGAAACGGCGAATTCTTCACCGTTTTAGTTTAAAACGGTGAAGTATTCACCGTCTTCGTCAAAAGCGGTGATGACCTTCACCGCTTTTGTCTAAAACGGTGATGCTCAAACATGTGTACTTTGGGAATTTTTTTTATAACTCATGTATTTTGGGAATTTTTTTTAGGGCTAATACCACTACAACACCCGAACTATGAACAAAATGTCACTTGTGTCCTATTCTTTCTAATATTCCATTTCTGTCATGAACTATGATATTTTATGTCGTTTGTATCCTGACAATTTCGTTGACCGTTAAATCTAACGGTTGACCTGACGGCGGTCAAAATTATGTTGACTTTTGGTGACATGGCATCCACGTGGATTGACATGTCATTATTGTTCAAAATCAAATTATTAAAATAAGTAAAATACAAAATTATTAAAAAATGTCGTCGCAGCTCTACTCTCTCCGGCGATTACCAGCTCCTTTTAACATCTCTCAAATCCGATCACATTGCCGCTCCGCCCCAGCTCTATTCTCACATGCTTCTACTTGATTCACTACCGTCAGCCTCCAAATTGGGGGAACTTGACAGCTGCCCGCTTCAGCTCGTAGCCATTCTAGATCTAGGTTCATGTATGCTCGATCCGAGTGACAAAGTGAGTTCTACCTCTCATTTATCTGCTCCCTCCCCTGATCTCGATCTCAATGATTAAAGCAGTTAGCTAATCAAAGTTTATCTTTCTTTTCAGATGTTGGGCTACACCGATGATGAAGGCAGCCGGGGATCCTCGCCAACAATGAGTTCCACCCCTTCGCGGCGATCGATTTTCGCAACGATCTCCGCCGTCGTCTCCTCGACGAGATGGGGAAACGAAAGGGAAGATAGAGGACCTTCGTCGTCTCCTCGATCGATTTTCGCGACGACCTCGTGGGCATTTTCAGCTTTGGAATCGATGTCGCCCCTTCACTTCATCTCGCCTCTGTTGGTGTGATTTCGGAACCCAGGTTCTGGTGTGGATTCTTTGCAGGTATATAGCTCGAAGGATGGTGAAGGTGGTGGATTTGGTGAGTGTGTGTGGGGACTCGAAATTTGACGGCGCCGGATCTGTAGCAAGAGGCTGGAGGAGGAGGTGATGGAGTTGAAGTAGTTGAAGATGAAATCGACAGCGATGGTCGGTTGGAAGAGAAGCGAGAGGTGGAAAGGGAAGGTGGAGGAAGGGTCTTTATTTTTATTTATTTTTTAAATGAGTTGGAAAATAAATAAAAATCGGATTAAAAAATTCCATGTAAGATGCCACGTCAATGCTGACTGGATTTTCTGTTAAAAACTAACGGTCAACACTAACAGACTAATAGTTTAGGACACAAGTGGAATATTATTGGAAAGAATAGGACACAAGTGACATTTTGTTCATACTTCGGGTGTTGTAGTGGTATTAGCCCTTTTTTTTTAAGAACATGTGTACAGTGGGATTTTTTCCTGATTTTCCATGGTAGCTATGACCTAGAAGGGGAGGTTGTACACCTGTGCATACAACTTCGACGATTAAACACAATCATAATGGTAGGAGCTGGCTACTATGAGATTCGATTCTCCAAGTTAAAAAGAAAAAACGAGGAAACCACTAGACCAAGCCCTCTTTTGCAATAGGTAACCACAACCTAAGCACTAACATAGTATTTCATTTGTTCAATTGCCATTTGCCAATTGCAATGGCCAGTGAATGGACGTATAGTCACACAAACTCCTTCCTGAAACATTGATTTGACTAAAACCCATGAACGATGCAGCAAACTATGGTATCTCATCCGATTGAAATTTTCTGTCAACTTTTTGCTTCAAACCACTGGATACAGTACAACAGTATCTAAACTGCCGGGTGTGGTTCATGTCTCAACGGGGATCATTTTGACCTTAGCCTGATCTATGGGGCAACAATGGACCAAGGATCCCCTTGTATAACCTAAAACACATTTATAAGCAGGGGACGCAAGAGCTCAAGAAAAACAAGTAGTTGCCACCCAATTAAACCAGAAAATACGAATAGAAAGCCGAGTGGGAGAGGAAAAGAATGTCAATCATAATCTTGTGAGGATTGAGAGGGTGACTACTTCAATTTGACGGGCGATCTTGAGCCAGAAGACCGTTTAAAAGTGGTCGCTCCACGTCCAGACTCCTAACAGATGTGCCTGGTCCTCTCGGGTCATGACGATGGAGTCTGCCATTCAGAAAAGAACAATCCAGTTGATTAGGGCACTCCATGAGGACAGAGTGTATATCGAAAACAAGGGGCACACACTGAGCCGATTTGATATTCCGTATTTTGCCAGTTAGCTTGTCAAAAGAAACGAGAAAGTAAGGCAACCCCTCGTATGAAGAACCAGTTGGTCCCAATAACGAGAGAGAGGTTCAGTCATGGATCTTAAACTATTTACCAACACCTCACGCAATAACTCTCCAATCCGTCAAGGGCGTCACAAGCTCTAGTTTGACTACCAAAGCAAATTTTAGAAACAAGGTGAATAAAGAACTACAAAGGTAAGGAGTGTTAAGATTTTTGTTTCAAGGCGTAGGTTTGGAAACGGTTCAAGAAGAAAATAAAGTTAGCTGATAAGATATGAGATATCTTCTAATGACACAATATGACACGAGAAAAGCAAGCATAGAGACCTTACACTAGTTGATTGGAGCTCCACATTGGCTGTGTCCTCGCCATCCTGAAACAGAACCAAATTCATGTCCTCGTTAAACACTTTAGTCGATACGATTAAAAGAAAAACAGAGGGGCAGGCAAAGAAAGCTTTGGTTTATGGGAAACTGTAGTGAAGACATGATCATACCTCAATCAACAAATCCTTTCTTGTAATTAGCCCAACAATGCGAGAAGGCCGAGGGGCAACGAACAAATGCCGTAATCCTAGTTGACGAAAGAGATTATATACCTACAACACCAGTAGCAAGATGCAGTCCATTGTAAGGCAAAGAGAATTGCATTTCCCCATATATGTAACATCACAACCTACAAGTTACAGAGAAAGGTACTAACTTTTGTTAAAGACATATCTTCTGGGACGACATATGGAGAGGGGTTCAGAAAGGGTGCAAGATCTATGTACATTTCCGAGTCATCCGAACTCAAATGAATATCCTCTATTGAAATTCCTTTGCTTGAAACAGGTTTCACAAACTCGGTGAAATTGTGACTGTATGAACAAGAATCAAACTACATTAGGGGGAGTGAGAGGGATAGCCAAACTGGCCGAATGACATCATTATCAATGCCACAATTACCTGATTGGTCTTGATCCACTTAGAGAATCAAACGGCAAAGGACTGTGCTGGAAATCTACCTTAGACTGAAGAAGTACTAGTAAATGACTGCACAGAGAAAGAAAAAAACATTGTGTTAGTTTCTTTTCAGCTGCTATACTACCCTCTATTGAATAATATCACATGTTGGCCTGGAAGTGAATTGAAAAGGCAATCATTACCTGCGAAGCATAAGCCCAACTACAAGCGTCTCTCCATTCCTTTTATGATCAATTACCTAAGCAGAATATAAACGGTAAGATTAATATATCTCATACCTGATTATAAATGAGTAACAAAAGGTAAAGGAGAAGATTGCTTACAGGAAATCCATTGTGCTTACTGCTACGCAAGATGGAAACTATATCTGCAACCTTAGCAACACGAGGAAGGGAAACAACCTTCAAGATGAAAAAGCATGACAACTCATCAGTTAAATAAACCAAAAACATAGACCGAAACCCCTAAACTTATGTATTACTGTTCAATTTATCGATGTTAACATGGCTAGCAAAAAGATCAGAATGCTTTCACTGAGAAGTCACCTTCTGATTTCCAAAAGCGTCCTTTGCGGTCATAGTCCTCATCTGGTATTTTGGTTTAGATTCCAGCAATGGAATGCCCTTTAATCTTGCCTGTTCTTCATAAAGGCCTTCATTAAAAGCATCACCAACGGCCTGCCCAGGCAGAGAGAGACAGAGAGGTGTGGAAAGTTGACAGGCCATTCATCAAGTTACCATGGGAAAGAAATTTAAAGAAGGTACCTTTGATATAAGGAGCACGAGCATTATAAGAGGCAGAAGTTTCAAGTTGTTGGTGATCTCAACCATAATGACACATAAAGAGACTGTCATCCTCATTGAACCTCCAAGGAAAGATGCAGCTCCAAGTAACGCATACCTAGCAACAAAACCAAGAAATAAATTAAGTAAAAATTATTGGAAAGGAAAATCTGCAGCCAAGTCAGGTCGATTAAAAGTAAAAGATAAAAGCCAACACGCAAATTTTATGGCAAGAGAAATTGAACACCAAAACAATGGATTTGTGCGAAGAGAATATATCTAGACTTGTTGGAGGAACTTACGTTCCTTCCTCAATGTTGAGCTTCTTGTAGAAATTGACAACAAACATTCCAACAAGGCGTCCATATGTCGACCCTATCATTATTCCAGGAACAAACTGACCAGCAGGAACTGCTGTACCGAAAGTGAGCACTGCTAGCGTGTAAAACATAACCTGCAAACATCGAATAACATAAATCAGATACTTGCAATTATATAATCTAGATAGCTCAGCTGCATTACAACTCCGAGTGGTAATGTTTGTGCTATAACTGGGATTAAGCGATAAAACAGTATCTCTCTCAAAAGATTATAGACAAAACGACTTAGAAGGCTTGGTGGCTGATATACTATTTGCCCTTTTTAGGCTGTGCAGACAACTCAAGGGAGGGATGATATTTGTAACGCTGTGCAGAACAGGTTTCAGGATGCAGCTTTAGTGAAATACATCAACCTTCAAGAAGACTAATTAACATCAACAACATAATATAACTAGGAAATGATGCAGTACCAGAAATGTCAATAAACTTTGTGCACTGAACTCATGGATCGTCTTTGCACTAAACAGATTCCTGATTGCGTCATCCTGTAACGAAAAGAACATGGACACAGTGAATAGGCCATAAAGATGTCATGAAGCCATAAGCGGAAACTAACATGAAAATGAAGGACAAGGCTGCAAGGCACTAAAGTACCTGAGTGTTGAAGAAAATTGTTGCAAGGTCATTATACTCCTTCTCCTTGCCACAAAAGAACTGCATATAGAGTAAAATTTTACTTGATTCCAACGACAGTGTATCAAGAGATATTATAAATGCTAAAAAGTAAAAACACAAACGGGACATTAAAAACCAGGAAAACAGGGAGGTAATTGCCAGGCACTATTCATGAATATCAAGTGATAACAATGATTAAAGATGGAGGATATCAATATTGTGCAATTATTAAATGAGTGCAACAGCAGTTTCAAGAGGTAACTTACACTGACATAATTCCCATACATGCCTGGAGGGCGGGGGCACTCAATGCTAGAGTCGGTATCAGATTCTGGGCACGGGCTACACTTTCTCAGGAGTGGAAGTCCAAAAGAAACAGCAGAAGTTATGACTGAGATCAGGCATGCTTCGATTATCTGCAAGGTTCAGGATATGAAAGCAGAGTGAGAGAATTAAACCTATTTGAAAGAGTCAAATTTAGCAGAAACCCCCTTTCTTTACTTAATTCAGAATTGCACCTTAACTCGGGTTCCTTTCTTGTGTAAATGGTTTCGACGCCAGTAAGTTATATATAGAGTGAGTTGGTTGAATAAGGCACCTGAAAACCCAAAAGAAGAAAGAAAGAAAAGATAACCAGTGAGCAAACTATTTATTGTCAACAGAAAGGGTGTACAACGACAGATCCCTCTGGTACATACCAAGCAGACCACCAATCACTCCAATAAATGCCATCGGAAGTAACTCCTCAAAAGAGTAGTCTTCTTGACCACTGTCCAGGAGAGATTTTCAAAAAGTAAAATTAGAAATCAGCACAAGCTCTATGCAATACGGGAATAAAAATGCAACAGGCTTAAAACTTACTCTGAAACATCCCATATAATGAAGCCCCCTGAGCCAAAGTGCCCACACTTTCCACTCTTACACCATCCCATGGCAGTACGTACAACAACTGCCACAATAGCAGAAGTGAAAAAGACACGCCACATAAGTTGACTCCTCCACCTTCACGAGTACAACCAAATTATAATTAACTAGAATTCAATCTGTAATAATTGCAACACATCAAATGTAAATTTATATAGCAAAGCCAATTTCATGACATAATTACAATTGTCTTACCAAGATGTAACCTCTTCCAATGCGAACAATACGCCACCAACTGGAGCTCTAAAAGCAGCAGCTACTCCAGCTGCACACCCACAGGTTACCTTTTCAAAACATTAGACAGCAAAAAATTGAGCAAATAAGGATGCAAGCAATCTCCACGGATGGGTAAAGAGAACTGATAACAACAGCATTCAAGCGCACATTAACTATACTACTACACAAGGAGGAATTGATTCATAGTAGGTGGCAAGCAAATTATTACGTTATGATTCCCAAACAGGAGCCACAAAAATGTGATGAATCGGCCAAATGGAACAACCAAAAAGGAACAAATAGGGGAATGAGTTGACATAGGTCACTCACCAGATCACGACGGTCACGATCACTTTGGAAAAATTGTAACCATCGGGAACTTACATGATATTTTGTAGTCCCACCCTAATTAACAAATGAAAGAAAAAAAAGAGTAAGAACGAACTGTTTAATAAACGAAGAACAAAAAATGGTAAATGTGGTTTTGTGACTCCATAAAGAGTCAACTCCATAAATTCTCACTTGTCCAAACAATGAAGCTATGCAAGCACCGGTATGAACAAGAGGACCTTCCTTGCCCAAAGCAAGACCACCTCCCACAGAACCAATGCTTCCAAATATCTACAGCAATTAACAAAACTGAGAAGTGAGAAGATGGGTAAAGGTAATGGGCAGCAAGGAACATTGATGCCACAAAATACCATCAAACCTTTCCGATCAAGGTTCTGAAGAGTAGAATACCATGGATGTCAACCCCTGTAAATAATAAGATGCTCATCATAAAAAAGAAGGATACTTCAATTTCCTCAAGGGTACAAGAAAGAACTTTGATCTGAGGAATGAAGCTCACCATTTAAATAACCTTTAATCTCTGGGATACCAGACCCTGCTGCAGCAGGTGCAAAGTGGGTGATGATATATACAGATGAAAAAACTAAAGCCAGGTTGATTAGTACATAAAGTACGAAGCCAGCAAAATATGACTTCTGTATTATTGCAAACGTCAGCGAGAACTTCCAGCCGGCAAAGTTCTCCACCGATATATTGATGAAAACAGCTGCCAATCCAGTACCTGTAAGCAAACAAAATCGAACTAATAAGCTATCAAATTCTACAAATTTTAATGCTCCTACACCTCACCACATCACGTAATATCATAACTCCCAACTAAGAAGCTAAATCAACAGAACATGCTACAAAACTGTGATCTGGAAATGCTACATATTTACCAATGAAGAAACAACGGAAAGACCAAAAGGGAACGTAGGAGCTAACAATTGAATAGAGGAGTGCATCAGTGACCTTCAAGCCCGTAAAAGCCCAATCCAGATCAGAAACACCAAGACTTACCAATTCCAATAAGCAAAGCAAAGAACCACTTCACCACTACAATAAATCCAACGTAAAGCTTCCCTCTTTGTGCCTGCAATTCCCAAAGGAATGGAAGGGAAATCATAACAAAACAAGACAAAAAAAAACCCAATTAACCACAGAAATGAAGCCTCATACTCGAAAATGAAAACACCCCCGAACCTCACTACAAACCTGCTCTTCTCGATACTCGTAGTTCTCAATTACTTCATAATCAAGACTTTCAACATTTCCGCCATCGCTGGTGCTCAATAGCGTCCCTCCATCGAGCTCCCCGTCCTCCGAGTTAGGTATCCGAGACCACAACAGATTAGCGGTCTCCATTCCATTCTGCAACTGATTCGACAACATCACCAGAAGATTCCTCCCCTGTCCACCTAATCAAGCTCCTGACCTCAAACCCTATGCCAGCCAGAAGAGAGGAACTCCGGAGTTAGACAATCCAACTCCAGAATTCTGCAGAGGATTCGGGGTAGAAGCGGAACAGATCACGGCGCCGAACGAAGCTCCTAACAATGGTTCAGTTAGGAATTGATGCAGGGAATCGCGTCGGAAGTAGTCCCCGTCGCCCGTCGGAGTCCCTCTCTCTCTCTCTCCGGCGGTTTTCCCTTCAACCTTTTTCACTTCTCCCGCTGGAGTTTCCTTAGCTCCGTCGCTTTTTCGGTTCAGTGAAATTTGACTCTTGGCGAAGTCTCGGAGCTGAATCTGACGGGCGTTTCCGCGTTTGTTTGTTTTCATTTTCCGGCTTTCCTCATATTCTTTGGGTTGGGCCGCGGGCTTTTGATCAGATGCTTCGCGAGTGTGTGGTACAATGGCTGAGGATTAGAGGCTTGGTTGGATCTGAGCCGTTGGATGTAGTTGATCAATGATTAAGTGACGTGATGTGGGAATTTGTCAGGTGTTTTGGCATACGTGTCGGGTGGAGTGCCAAGTAGGAGATTGATAATGACTGTTCGGGAGAGAGAAAGAGATGCGCAGGGAATGTGTTGTGTTGGTCCGTAACTGTACTGTGCGTTTTAAGGAAAGAAAAATTTGTTAAAATATTCATTACTCGTCACCAGGGGGAGTTGTATAGACTGACACGTGGACGAGCAGTTTAAAATGGTATGGTTTGGTGAGTTTATGAATATATATAACCCAGTTTCCTCTATTATTATTGTAATATGTGAAACAGCTATTTAATTAATTTTTTTATGAAAAATTAATTAGTTAACTAAACAACCCCTTTGGGCTTTGGCAGAAGTGTCTTCTTGAAGGGATTATATAAACAAATAAAAAATTATTTTCTTGAAGATGTTGATATAACAAAATGGAATTGTTTAAATTATATAGTACATTAAGATTACGATAGTACAGCAAAACAAAAAGTATATGGTTGTAATGTCACGCCAACATCTTACCGGTTGGTTCAGCTAGGTACAACATGTACCGGTCATCAACCCGGCTGGAAAGGGGGCCGATATTCAATTTTGATCAAAGTCGGCCAATGCTGATAAAATTCAAGAAAACCGGTCGGTTATATTAGAAATCAAATTTCAGTATTTTCACATATGTACTCCAAAAATAAACATTGATCATTGGATTAGAACCACATACCTCATGTTCACTAATTTCAATTATACTCCAATAGACTATAAAGAACTTTGTGATATATATCAACCTTGTCTATTATATAAGTAATATAATATTTTACAAAAACCATTGTCAATAGTAATAAAATTACTTCATATACTTTTGTTTTTATATATCTAATTGCTTTTAGTTATCACTTCCTATAAACTATTTTGTGTGAATTAATTCTTTTATTTGCTTCTTCCTAATAATTTATTTGATATTGATGATTTTCCATTTTTCTCATATATTCTATTAAGACCGGCATAACCAACATAAACCAATTACTATACCACCAACCAATCATATCATTTCACTTGTCAAACTGACATAGCAGTACAAATCGGTTCAACAATCTTGCTAAAATCCAATTGGTTGGGTTGGTCTATTTTGCTAGTCAAGGAACCAATGGTCAATATGAAACCGTTGTAATTGAGAATGCGACCAGTGAGTCCACCATCACGAGACGTGAAAGTTGAGCACGCTTCCACCATCCACCTTCCCCACCCATTATTCCATTTCACCCACTCAAACACCTAAAGATAAAATGGTGAATGGCCAACCATTTTCAATAATGAAATTGAAAGTGGCCAATTGAGAAAAGTCATGCACGCAATCACAATTCTACATTAAGTTCTTTTTGCCTCCCCCCACTCTACAGTATGTATACTGTATTCTAATGAGATCTGTCAACAACACAATACAAGTAATGGACACTTTATTCACAAGCAAGAGCCAGAGGACCAAGGAGAAAGTGTAGTATATAGATTGATATCGCTCGCTTCTATTGGCTTCAATGAAGGCTCAGATCATGAACATTTCGATGCATGAGAATTCGTCATATCATTATTGGTTTCGGTTCTGTGTCGCGTCACAATGCCGACTTAGCAGGCGTTTCAGATGCAACAAGCCCTTGGTACATTTCTGTTATGGCACTCTGGAAGTATTCCTTTGCTTGAGCTCTCTTAATCTGAAAATCCAACAACAGGTAGTAACAATCAACATCATGAATGAATGAAGTTCCAATCTTTCAGTGTTCATTATACAGAGCTTAGAACCCTCACCTTAAATGTTGGGGTGAGAAGCCCATTCTCCAATGTAAACGGTTCCCCCACCAACATCACAGCTTTCGCATACTCAAACCCTCGAAGCTGGAAACAACAGAGAACGGAGTGGAAATTGCATTAAGAGTTGGAGAGAATAAAGGTTTTCAGCAGTTGATGGCATTGCTAATGGAACTTCTGGTTACCTGAGCTTCTCTTCCAATAGCATCCATGTCTGACAACACAACTGCTTTTGTTCGTGGATCATTGCATAGTTGCTCCAAGTTGTCAAACTGAAATTTATACTGACGAATCAGTCTTAGATAAAATGGGCATTCAGAGGAGAATCTTATTTTGAAGTCTAACCTTGATGCCTTGAGAGGCAACCCAATCTCTCAACACGTCTTGGTCAACAGCAACAACAGCTACCAAAGAAGAGTTGAAGCTATCACCATAGATGAAGCACTGAGCAACAAATCTGCACTTGGCATAGACATTCTCTATCTTCTCAGGAGCTATGTACTCTCCTTGTGCTAGCTTGAAAATGTTCTTTTTTCTGTACCAATCAATACAGGAGTATGTTTATTGTTCTGAGAGTTGTCAAAGATATCACAAAGTTCGACTAAAACAAATTGCTTGCAGTTCAAGTTTCAGGTTATCACCTGTCAATGATCTTCAGACGTCCTCCTGGTAACCATAGTCCAATATCTCCAGTGTGTAGCCAACCTTCTCCATCGATCACTTCTCTCCTGAACAACATTCGTCAAATTACTATTCCAGTACCAAAGTCAATAGCTTTGGAACCAATAAAGAGAGGAGCTGTAAGGGCAAATTTACGTTTGAGTTTCGTCTTTATAGTAGCCTTGGAAGACGATGGGACCCCTCACACATATTTCGCCACGTGGATAGGGCTTATCACTTTCTGGAACATCCTCAAGCTTCACTTCTGCAAAATGGACAAACGGAAAAACTAGTGTTTTGCATAGAAAGAAGTATCACACAGGCAGTTAAATCGACAGTGCTTAAATAGCTCACCACAAGCTGGATTAGGAGAGCCAACGTGCCCTACTTGATTGTCACCTAAATCTATAACGCTAATGACGCATGAAGTTTCTGTCATTCCATATCCTTCAAGAACTTCTCCGCCAAAGCAGCTGCAAGTTCATCGACAATCATTCATGAACATCCACCGGAAAAAACAAAAACTGGTTCCCCAATGGCTACAACCAACCGAAACTTACATCTTCATGAACTCCAAGACATCAGGAGACAATGGTGAAGCTCCCGAGACAAAATACCGAACTCGTCCCCCAAGTTTATCTCGGATCTTGTTGAACACCAATCTGTCCCACATCGGAGATGCATTCTTGCCTGCAATAATGTTAGAATCAGTAAAAAGAAACTTCCACATTAAGCTATTGTTTGCTAGTAATGTTCTTTGTTCATCTAACCATTCTGTAAGGCCTGCTTTTTGGCATTGTATGCAGCATTGAATAGCCTCTCTCTTAGTCCACCAGAACTCTTCACGATGTTGGTAATACTGCAAAACCAAAATAGTCAATAATGGAACGGTCAACTAAAGTAAATAAGTCCAGAAGTAAGGAACAGTAAACTTCACCCCGCATATATTCTATTGAACAGTCGAGGGACACTGCAGAATATGGTAGGTCTAAGTGCAGCCAGATCATCCATCAGTTTCAAGTTATCCTACAAACATTGGTTTATAATATTGTCACGTTGCATATTCAAGTCCAAAATCTGAATAGAGAAGCAAAATGTTCAATTCAGACACGTACCCCCTGGTAGAATCCTACAGCTACTCCGAAATGCGCCGTCAAGACCTGATTTACCAGCTCGTAAATGTGTGCCAAAAGGTAGATATGATATGTAACTGTTGATAAAAAGTTCGTTTCAACAAAAATGAGGTAAATTATTACACAAGGGGAAAACATCGGTTATAAAAGAATGTATTGCAGTATACAAAACAAGTACTCACGCATCTGATGGGTAGAAGTTGGTGGTTAACGTGGAGCCAGCCACATTAGCAATCAAATTTTCGTGGCTCAGTACAACCCCCTTGCAAATTATCATCAAGTTAACCGAAAGTTAATAAGACCTAACTGCCATCCTATACATCCTTTCTAGTGGAAAATAATTAGCAAGAAAACTAAAATGGATGAGAAATATAAGAATACCTTTGGTGTCCCGGTGGTGCCACTTGTGTAGCAGATCGTAGCAGTATCTTCTGGTCTTGGCGAGCAAAAAGGGTGAAGTTTACTGGTACCCTACGAGGCACCAGTTACATGAGAAAGCAGTTTTTGCTACCACAAAGCTCAATGGAACAATTCAAAGCATAATAGAACATAAATAACGGATGCAGATTGAAATAGTGATTACACTTAGAATGAAGCTCATATATCAAGGAGAAAAAGGATAGTGAAAGATAAATTAATGCCTGGGTGAGCAGTTTTGAATAGGTTACAACCTGAACTCCAGTTAATGATGGAAGAGAAGGCACTTGATCATCGATCCCCCCAACAACCTGCTCAATAAGAAAAAGAAGTTCACTTTTAATGGCAAAACCAGTTAGAGTTATCTTCTGATCCCAGCTGTCTAAGAAAGAAAATATTACCACAATAACACGGACAGATGGAATCTTGGACATAAAGCTCAGCAACTGCAAGCTCCAAGTGATCATTAATCATTTAAGCATAAAAATTCTAGCGTGCTAAGAAAACAGAAAGACTAGACTCACAGAATTCAGTGTTTCAGGCACACAAAATATAGCTTGTACAACAGCATGATTTACAATGTACTTGACAACATCCGGGCCTGAAAGAGATAGAGTAACAAGCTCATCTCACCACCCGAAAAGCTACAACAGCTAACTCCATGACAATAAGTTTTTATGTTCAAGTATGACGAACCGAGAGTGTCGTATAATGGAACTGATATATAAGAGTATGCAGAGCAGGCATGGTCAACAATAATCCATTCTGGTCTGTTGATAAAGTACAATCCAACACGAGCACCCTATGCCAAAGATGTTGAAACAAAAGCATTACAAGATGAAAGCTAACAAAATAACACATGATAATTCTGCATTCACCAAACACAATTTTACCTTCTCAATTCCATGATTCATTAGGCCGGCCCCTATAGCTATTCTTGCTGTGCCTGCTTCTCCAAATGTCATCCATTTGTAACTACAGAAACCGATACCAAGTCAATTAAAGTTTCCCATCCTCGGGATATGTGTAACAAGCCCTCACTAATACCAGACAGAGTTTGCTTACTCCCCAACAATTCCATCGACTCGAATTCGCGTCCCAAGGTACTTGTAGTCTCAAAATGTCTCAATCGCATGCCTACAGTGTCATGAATTTGCTTCAATTGTTGTTTGTTTTATGACATCCATAAAAACTTTACGCAACTAGTCTATGATTAAAACAGGAAACGAATGGTGTTTCTTACACAAAGTTATCATGCAATGTGCCGATTTCGGGGTGATCAGGGAATCTAGATACAAGCTTCAAAGGAGACCTAGCAGATCTGCCACAAACAGCTAACTAACTGGATTCAAGACTAACAAACAATCTGTTGCCAGTCTGCAATTCCCAAAGTACACAAGACTGTAAATTTACTTGTAAACATTCCACTTGCCAGTCTGCAGTTTCTCGGGAAGCACTACACTGTAACCCTGCTCTGCTCACAATGAAACCACCATCATTACCAATATTCGTGAGACAAGATCATAAGGCACAAGACAAGGCCCTTGCCAAGATGATTAACAATCAACCTAATTGTAACAACAGAAAAAAATGGGGGGATGGATTTCTCGAAGACAATCCATTTTTCCTATGAAAAATTCTCTTTTTTTGTCAGTGGGCAAGAGATGAACAAAACCAGTGGTGGGATTTTAAGCAATAAATCATATCTAAAGGGACCCATGTGGGAATCAAAGAAGAGAAGCCCCAACGACAGCAAGGGGACAAAAAGATGGCTCATTTTTAGCAGATTACAGGAAGGAAAAAAAACGAAGGCCCATTTCCTCAACAAACCCAAAAATGAATACCAAATTTTTTGTCTGAATACCTGAGAAAAACTCGCCGGCGGTGGGGCTCTGAACCAGCTGAGCCGTCGTCGACGGAGAATCACCGCTGAGGTGATCTTGAATAGACCTCATGCGACGCTGGGCAGCCGTCGTCATCCCTCTTTGTTCCTCCATGTTTCTTCCGGCTCTGTTTGGCTCTGAAGCAGGGGAAATCACGAAAAGATCGAAACCTTTTTTTCTCTCTCTTTGTTTTTTGGTGGTGGGTCAAGTAAGCAGAAGGCACGCTTCTCAAGGACGAGAGATGACGATGGGGAAAAGGGTTTACGACTGTTCCACACACAATATGATTCAGTTGGGAGGATCAGATTCAGAGCGATCGAAATTAATAGAACTCTCTGTGCGGTTGTCTGCCCATCCTCTGCTCGTCGTCCTCCTCCTTTCTTCTTCTGGGGTCTGATTGTTGTATCGTTGTTGGCTATTTCAGTCGGATTTGGCTACGTGGAAACAAATTTATTGATTATGATGATTAGTATTGGTAACCACAATTATTGTCGTTGGCGCGGCGCGGGTGGAGTGGAGCCGATGTTTGTTATCTATGAAATCGCCATTTCCAGTCCCTCCGGCTGTGCGGCTGCTTGTTTGTTTGTTTGTTTGATGCTTTTTTACCTGGATTTCAAAATTACGTGTTTGAGGGTTGAATCATGAATCGTCATCCTCATTTCTTCGTATCCATGTATTGGCAAATTTTGCTACGTCATTCATTATTAACTATATACATAGTATATACTTCTCATTATCGCAAAAAAGAAAAGTAAATATACTTTTTATGGTAGAAAAAAACTAAATATACTAATATGCGGTATATTCTTGTCAATGCGATTTATGTCTAACTCTCCGGAATTTAAGATAGATAGATAGATAGATACCCATACCATTAAATAGAGGATGAACATTTCGTACCAAAAAGGGAGATGGACCCTTGTTTTGTTTTCATTTTCAATGATGCATGGTGTTGGGAATGGATTCAATGGGAAGCATATATTCGTATTAATGAAAAGATTTTTATGTGCCTCGTCGAGTGGGCATTAAATAAAACATCAAACAATAAGATTAAGATAGAAATGAAGGAGATGAAAGACAAACAATCAATAGAAAGAATGAGACATATATTTGGTGGTTGGTGGTTGGGGCATCATTGGATAGTGATATTCGAGTCGAATTTTGTTAAACTTGAACTTGACTTGGTTTTTAATGAGTCGAGTTGGGCCAGGTATATTTAACCTTGAGCTTGATTCGTTAAGAAACGAGTTGAGTTCGAGCTAAACTCAATAAAAAGCTCATGAACTCTACTCGAGCTCAATGAACTCTACTCGAGCTCAGCTCATCAACCAGCTCAAGGGCTCTGCTGTTTATAAGTCTAAATGGTTGAACGCTTAAATTAAATATATAAAATAATTTATAATTTGAATATCATAATACTTGTATGTCATATATGCTATATATGGTTAATGAAAAAAAGAATAATAGTCAATTTTGCATCACTAATTGATCTCATGTTTATATACTATGTTGATGTAATATAATTTAGTTCATAATTTTTAACTAATTAATATCATGTTATATAATAATTAGCAATTATGCATTCTATAATACATAATTTCTCTTCAAATTATAAATGTTACATGTACTCAAATTCTTCAACCATTATATATTATGATTATATAGTCTAAAAGACATGAATTATTAAGAAGACACACATATAAGTTATATAATTGATTTGCTCATAATTCGCTAGTCGATCTGGCTCACTAACTACACTGTCAAGCCAGCTCACCAATTGGACTCAATTAGCCACTCAATCGAGCTAGCTCACGAGCATCATTAGCGGAACAAGGATGAGCTCTGCCTCGATTCGTTTACTAACGAGCCGAATTATGAACGAGTTTTTCTCGAGTAGAGCATCGAGCCGCTCATGGGTAGTTTGACTCATTTGCAACCTTGTCCTTACCTTACTATTAGTATCATTTTCAGTTTTCACAAGTTTAGTTATGTTTTTATTTGGGTTAAAGACACATTTGGTCACTGAGATTACAAAATCGGGACATGTTTAGTCACTAGAAAAAGTTAATATCAAATTTGGTCACTACAATTACTAAAACTGGACACATTTAGTCACTCGCCGTTAGTCTCCGTCCAACTCCGTCAATGAAGTCCGTTAAGTGCTGATGTGGCAAACAGAATTGCCTAATCAGCCGGATATAACCCAACAAAAATAAAACCCGACCTGCCACATCATTATAACCCGCCACGTCATTAAAACCAACCCAACCCAACCCATGACCCAACCCTACCCAACCCTTCTTCCTCCTTCTTTCCTCAAAATCACCGCCGCCGCTCTCCACCTTCCTCCCACCTTTCTCCCAATCTCGCTCCGGAGATGAACCACTGCTGAACCCATCACGCTCGTCCACCGGGAACCACTGCTGTCGAGGGTGCAATTTCCGTGCAGCTTTTCTATGGCTAGCCAGGGTTCAGCGGCTGCAATTTCTTACGTCTGTTAACAACCATTGGCGGCGGCGGCCTTGCGAGCTCATCCGACGAGACCTGCAATCCTCCTCCGCCTCCTCGAGCTGAAGTATTGAAGCCGAAGTAGTCATTATTATTGTTAGCTGCTGAATTCAGCTGGTGTTGGTTGAACATCAACAAGTTCCCCGGCGGTGGAGTGGCGCCAGCACCAGCTGGGCTTTGGATCTCATCCTGATGAAGAAGAAGAAAAAAAAACAACATTACAAAAAAAGAAATGAATCGTGAATTGGGAGAAAGGTGGGAGGAAGGAGGAGAGTGGCGGGGCGGTGGTTTTGGGGAAAAGAAGGAGGTGGGAGGAAGAAGGGTTGGGTAGGGTTGGGTCATGGGTTGAGTTGGGTTGAGTTGGTTTTAATGACGTGGCGGGTCGGGTTTTATTTTTGTTGGGTTATATTTGGCTGATTAGGCAATTCTGTTTGCCACATCAGCACTTAACGGACTTCATTAACGGAGTTGGACGGAGACTAACGGCGAGTGACTAAATGCGTCCAGTTTTAGTAATTGTAGTGACCAAATTTGATATTAACTTTTTCTAGTGACTAAACATGTCCCGATTTTGTAATCTCAGTGACCAAATGTGTCTTTAACCCGTTTTTATTTGTTGTTATGGGCCTTGTTGCAATAAGAGTTGATAATACAATAGAAATTAGATAAAACCAGCAAAATCACTTAAGTAGCTTATTTATCGTTTACAAAAATGATTTCTTGTGAGATCCTATCAATTGATGGAATAATTTCATTCAATAGAGTTTACATATGTTTTCCTCTTCATTGTATTACTCATCTATTACTCATCTATGAACATTATTGTCACTTTCCATGCCACAATATTATTCTATTATTTTCCTTTTATTCTCATAACTAAATGCATTTTTGTTTATGGTTGCCAACTTTCATGATTTCTCATAATTATCAACTAAATATGATTTTGTTTTCTATTCACGATGTTGTAGTCGTACCTCTACTCTGTTATCACAACTCTATTGCAAGTACAAACAACAACAAACTATGCCAAACGAGGCCTTAGAAAATCATTGAAGAAGGTAAACTATTATATCATATTGGAGATTTATTTAGATCTCAAAATAGTAATACATTCTTGGAGCCTCAAATAACCCATCGTAACTTATCAAATCTAAACCGATAAATGATCTTAGTGGAATGAAATAGTTATCACAATTAAACCACAATTTCGACACAAAGTACTATATCAGTGACTTCCCCAGTACAATCTCCAAAGACCAATCTCAAGTCTCAGCTCTTACCTCTCTCTCTTTTCTGATAATATGAGATGACTGACTGGCTAACAAAAACATAAAACTCAACCTCAGAATCACTAATTGACAAGCCTGATGATCTTCGGTACCCTGATGTACTGTATATATATATATATATGATCACAGTATTCTCAAATTCGAATACACGACCAACTTTCCAACTACTTAACACAAGACTGTCGAAGAGTGAAAAGTAAACAGAGATCGAGAAAGCTAGAGTGGTTATGAGGAATCAAACCCACGAAGGCAACCTTTTCACACAAGACTGCCGGAAACCAATTCAACCTTCCGGTCAATTACCATTGCATTCTCTTCAGCAAACCGCAACACTTTCCAGGCCCTTTCTACAAGCACTGCCCGTCGCACAAGTAGTACTGAACTCCAATCCCACAATAAGCCCCATTATAATATGGCTGCTAAACATCCGACCCTATTCTATAATGCTATACCCTAGAGCATCACGCGACGAGACTAAAGGGGTTCATATCTTTTTTTACCGTGTAAACTGAAGGGGCTAACCCTATCTCAAACCCAAGCATACGGAGAGCCAGCGTAATGGCTCGCCCATCTCTCAAACAGCATCGTGGTCTTTCCGAGTTTGCTTCCATCGAGAAACCAAACGCGGATATGGGAACTCAATCAAGCTCGTATAGCCATAGAATCTATGGTCTTGCCCTCAGATGAAAATAATAGCAGCAACTCTGCTGCGAGTCTAAAAGAGCTCCATCAATTGTTGTGCTACATCTGCATCAAATTCGCTAATGTTCAGTCCTAGGTGGATTAGAATCCTCAAAACACCGGTCAAGATAACATTGAATTATGAGCATGGAACAGGGTTGCAGACCTTGAAGAACGGTGGGAGGTGTATGGAACTCCTGCCATACGTTCTGGTAAGAAGGGAGATCCATGTTTAGAAACTTGGCAGCAAGGTAGGCTGCACCACCGGCAATCTGATGCGGCTTGAACTGAAGCCACAATGAACTCCTAAGCCTGCAAGAAAAGAAAAGGCAAAGATAACTCATATTAGCTCTACTAAGCTCCTAAAGCTAACGTCATTCACGATAGTTGCTTTCTTCACAAGCTAAAACCCATTTTGTGTTTGTGCATCTTTTAGCAACTTCGATATCAGCAAACAGAAACACATGAAAATCAGACATTGCATTGTGACAATGAATTATATGAACAGAATAACGCAAGTCGTTTCTTCTTACCAAACAGAAAAGCAGCAATCCTGGTAGTAGAACTATTTGCATAGAATCTCTGTAAGGTTGTTGTTAGGATAACTATACGACATGTTCTACTCAACTAGAAACACATCAACTCCAGGGGGCAAATTCTGTTGCAGAGGCTTTTTTAACTCCAGATACATCATGATTTGATAAAACTATATATGATACACTACGAGCCTATCGCAAACAGCAAGCTTCTTAGAGAAAATAACCACATATGTCTCCTCAACAACTTGATCTCGAATGTGTAAGGTTCACACACTATACCAACACCACCATGCCAGTAATCCACCAGAACAAAAGAGGGCAGCATACAATTGACATTGGACCTTGTAGCATTAATTAGGCATTTAAAAAACAGAACGAAACTGTAAACTTTAGGATATGAGAAAATAGCTGTATTAGAACATAGAAATATTATGTATATTTTTATATATTTGTCATAGCAAAGAGAAAACATCAAGTATAGTGCTGCAGAAGCAACTGCTTACTAAAGTAAAAAAGGGAAGAAAATTGATAAATCCTAAATAGTATCATTATTCTCGTCAGGTGATCGATAGTCAGGACATAATAATTAGCTAGTGAACAAACCTACAGGCAAATGTATAGACCTAACTACTATCGCTGATTCACTGTACTGTATTTTGACAACTTGAGGTAGCCCATTTTCAACAGAAAGTAGTATCAGGTCTCTGACCTGAGAGCACCTATCCCAATGGGTTAATCTATTGGGCAGATGTCTAAATATTTACATTCCGTTTGAAATCACAGTGAATCTAAACATCATGAATTTGGGTAAGGCAGCAATTCAGTCTGACAAAGAGATTCAGAATCTAAGTCTTTCTTGGGATGGCATATAAAAAAATGACCAGTCAATCCCCACTCTACAAAGCATGTTGATGCAGCTCACTGATCGCTCAAGCTTTGGACATCTAACCAGGAAAAATTACATGTGTCTATCCAAATAACAAGCCTCCCATTGGGTTCCTACACCATTTAACAAAATCCAAAACTCATCAACGCATTCAGCAAGATGCCCCTATTACATTTCAAAATACCAAAAAGGACAACCTACCTTCACATGTGAATGAAAGTGTCTTGCTTGAATATATATATTTATTTATGAATCCGGACTTGCTTGAAAAATGAAAGAAAAAACGTTTGATAAAAATTTGGAAAATACTGGACATCTGATAAAAATTTGAAAAAAACCCTCTAAAGGTAAAAATGGATGAAAACCAGAGAAAAGAAGCCTTGAGTACAAAATTTTGAAGAAAAGAAAAGAGGACGAGGTGAAAGATCAAAGAAGTGGCACCACTCATTTAGGCTCCTCTTCCCCAAAAAAACAGCGTGGCCAAAAAATAGTGTGACTGAATAGTTGGACTGGCACCTCGTCTCCGAACTTAAAAATTGTCAGCAACTGGAAAGGGATAGGTTGACAGGCAGAAGGTTCTGAGGCTATCTTTGCTATCATATAAACAAATTGATGAGAGGATAGTCACAGCAATGTGATCCCCAATACACAGGCAGTTCAACTTCCGAAACCAAAAAAAAACAAAAAAACTTTCCAAGCACAGTATATCAATCCGCCAGCTAACAATATCACACAGTTGATCATGCTAATCTTGTGTAGACCCTGCAATTATATGACATTCCAAAATATATCAATATTGGATACCAGAATAACTATGCTTGAAAGAGTTCAAAATCTCTTGACTGCTAGGCCATTGTCTTAGAATGGAAAAGAAATAAACGTTCATCTCCATGATAAATGAACCATGAAAATTAAAGCTCAACAATTCATCTGTTGGTTTTACATTGCTTACCTGTCTTCACTAAAGACATGGACAAACTGTCAGCTGCATGACAACTTCCTATGCACTAGATTATGTCTCCCGCAGAACTAGTCTGAGATTATCCCCAGACACAAAGATAAGGCATAGGCACACCTAATTGGCACCAGACGGAGCGACCACATCGTATGGAAGTTTATCCAACAAGAGAAAGCTCATTTTTTCCACCAAAATTAGCCGCTAAAACAAGAAACCTGCCGATATTTCTTGCCTTGTAGCGAACATGAAAGAAATGACTTACCCTTCATTAACCAAGTTTAAGGCCATATTCACCAAAAGAGTCTGTGCCAGGCCTAGCTTGTCAAGGACTGATGTGAGTGGAGCATAAGGATGCTGCACATTTAGCTCAAAATTGAGGGTAGTCAATATCATTTGCTCAGCATCAAAGATTTGTTCCCGGTACTGCTCAAACCAGTCCTGCACACAAGAAACTCAAGTTTGAGTTCACCCATATAAGAGTTGATAAAAATAAATTTGATTATTTGCCAGAAACCGAAAGTTCAACAATGTATGTTTATCTACCAGTATAGTAAGATGCATAAGTAAGAGATTCAGTACAATACTCACAATGGGCAGTACGTATGACAATAGACTGATGTTCTGCTTATGTAAAATCTCACAGGATGATCTCAATACATCATTCAATGGGCGTGGCGTCTCCTCTGTCTTTGCAGCAAGAAAAAGGGCAGCGGTAGCAATTAACTGCATAAAGAAAATCCATACCACCAACATGTTTAAGGAACAAGACACAGGAGGTGAGACAAAAGTGTAAAAGAATATGAGGACAAAAATGGGAATGCAAGAAGAATAACACTAGCGGCCAAAAGATTCTGCAATAATGCAAGCTATTAGTAAACCAACCAGGGGACTTCTGCCGTATTTTTCAACTCAGAAAGAAAAAACAAGAAATGATTGGAAAAACCAATAATTGGAACAACTAGTATCTATTCAAAATGAAATTACAAACGAAAACATCTTGCATTGTTAGATTGTTGACAAACTCACAAATCGGTCGTGGCAAGCATGTGACCGGCGAATAAAAAAGCGGTGGCACAACACCATGGCGGTGCCAGTAGTTGTTTGTGGCCTGCAATTATAAAATCAAATATCAGTTAGAAGACCACAAACAGTTGGAAGTTAGCAAGTCAAAAGAGAAACCACCAAAACAAAACTACTCACAGATCAAGTCGCGAGCCAAGATTCTGAAGGAAGGCACAATAAGAGTAACGCAAATGTGCTTCATGTTGAGCATCAATACCATCTTTCCTCGACGGAGAGCATCGTTCAATCTCGTCTCTTGACAAAAAGAGTGGTTCCTCTTCTTCTAGTTTGGAGCGGTCACGTTTGCAGCTAGTAGAAGTAGATGCCCCAGTATTGGTCGTCAAAGGTGCAGGGAGAGAATTGATACGAGTCAAAGGTGCAGCAGCTTCATACAAACTATTAGCCCTTGGAAGGCATCTTCCGCCATCTCTATACATCTTAGGTTGCACATACTGTCTCTGACGATCTCCGTGCGTGTTATTAGACTGTGTTTGATACCTTGCAACATCTCCATATGAGTTTGAGTGCTGATAGTCTCTCCCACAGTCCTCAAATGTGTTGAGCTGCAGATAATTATGCCCGTCACCATCCCGCCACATACTAGAGTTGATCTTTCTCCTCTTTAGAGATGGTGGACCGCTAGGAGGAGGGTTGTTGTACTTGCCACTGTCACCAATATGGCTCCTCAGTTTCCCAGAGAAATCATGGAAATCCTGATACCTCCGCCGATAATCATGGTTATCGTTCCGACCCGAGTTCAGATACGCACTCCAATCATAACTTCCCCTACTAAACGTGGTTGCACGATCATCGAGCATTGTTCCACCTTGTGAATGATAGTTCCTCATGAAAGACATGGTACCTGACGAACTTTTTTCCAGCAACCAGAAGCAAACAGTAAGAAAGGAACAACAACCAAGCAAATCAAATGCCAAGACACCACTGTCTCTACCAATCATCATCCCATTAAAGCTTCAAATTCGAGCTAAATTCACTCAGATTCTGATGAAAAAGCACGCGTTCTACTAGTGCGGCTTCCAACCTCACCAACTACAGCTAACCCATCGACGGACCAAATCGACAAGAAACAATTAAGATTAACAGAAACGGTTGAGCTTGACAAGACCGGATATAAAGCGATGAACTGGAACTAATCAAAGCAGAACCAGAAACCTCCCGAACAAAAAAAAAAAAACACCAAATCAGGCGGCGAACCAACAACTCGGATCATGGAATTTTAGGCAAAATTCTCCACGAAGTCAAGCTTAAAACGAAGGTTCGACTCTCCACGCATCTATCTTCAGAGCAGATTAAGTCTAGATTACCGGGAAATGAGCTCGGGTTGAATCAACTGATTGATCGCAGGAACGGGAAAAAGCGAGGGAGACGATGCAGGAAGCGGAAATTACCTGAAACGAAGCGGGGATTGCTAGATCGTAAGAAGAGCGAGCGGTCGGCGATTGCGATTGGGATTGGATTGGGAGATATTGGAATTGAGATTACGGTCTGAGAGAGGAGAGGAAAAAAAAAGATGGGAGGTTTTGAAGGGGGCAAAAGGAGTGGGGCGTATGAATGAAGGTTTCAAAAGTGCGAAAGGGCAAGAACGGGGTAAGATAATTTGCCGAGCCCCAGTCCAATTAGAGATGTCAGGTCGGGGCCCGTTAGCGGATACTCGCCCCAAGCCCAATCGAGAAGGGCTCAAGCGGGCTGGTAGCAAAGGTCCGCCAATGGGTGGTGGATTACCCGGGATCCATCAACCCTGGGTTTCGGGTATCCACCCAACGAATTACCCGTGCCTCCTCTCTGTGATTAGCGATTAGATCGCAAGATAATCGCAATTTTTCTCCTCACCAAATACTCGAATCTCTTCTAGTTTCACTGCAATCTATCTTCAATTCCTCCATTCGACCAATCGCATGGCTGGAAGAGCAACCATCCGACGTCGATTTCGTCGAGCACAACCCAAAAACGAGTCGTTTGGAGTTAAAATTCTTGATTGTTCGTAGATAACAGATAAGTTAATTCTGGATTCTTTTCTTTCGATTATCTTCGTTGTATCCTCAAAATCTCTACTTACTCTTGACTCTCGTACTGCTATATATATGGGGGGATTTCAGAGGTCGTTCATCACCAGTCACCATCCTCACGTTCTCTAAATTTCTACCCAGAACACCCAGTCCACAGAGAGCAATGATAGAGAGATTGCGACGAGCATCTAGACAGAGTCTAGATCTTTTTCTGGGTAAGGATCTTAAACTCGTCGACTTTTCCTGAGTAGTGGTGTTAATACAGACATGCATGCTAGTCATCCTGTTCTAACTTTGTTTTTGTTCGTTGTTCACTCTTTTTTGGCCAGGTTGGACTTGTTTGAATCGGTATTGAAGGACTAAGCTCCGAAGAGCAACTAAGCGAGTGATAGTGATCATCAGTGATCAGTCTACTGTCATTGGGTACTCGACAGTCCTCAGAAAAACTCAAAGACAAGGTAATCCTGTTCTCCTCTCCTAAGTCCTAAGTCCTAAGTCCTAACCAGTAGGCAGTAACCATTGTGTTTGTTGTGTTTCTTTGACTTGTTGTGACTATGGCTTGCTTGCTAATGATAAGAAGTTAGTTAGAAGACGTAAACTGTAATGGTGAAATTTTTGAAAATGGTGTCTTGTTTGCTTGTTAGAAGAAGTCTTGTCCATTTAAGTAAGAAAAAATGTAAAATGAAGGTCTAATTAGTGATATATAACTTGATTATGTTCAGATGGAAGGTGCTACCACTAATGCTATGAATGTTGATTAACATGTCCCTGAAAATGGTGTCCAAGTTCAACCTGAACAACCTGCTCCTGTTCCAAATAATCCGGTTAATGGTAATGAGGAAGAACTGGAAGCACAACGTAAGTTAACCTCTAATGTGTGGCCTCACTTCCACAAAGTTAGGATTAATGGGGTAATGAAAGCTAGGTGTAATTACTGTCGTAAACCCCTTGGTGAGGAACCAAGTAATGGAACTTCACACTTGAGAAACCATATCAAAACATGTATCCAGAAGAGGATGCATGATGGTTCTCAAAAAATATTTGGCCCCAACTATCAACCTGGTGTAAATCCTCAACTCTCTGCTTCTCAATACAATTATGAGGTTTCTAGGAAGGAACTTTGTTCCATGATTCTGGTCCATGAGTACCCCCCCCCCCCCTTATCCTTGTTGATCATGTGGGTTTCAAATGTTTTTGTTGTTCTCTTCAACCTCAATTTGCTGTCCCTAGTAGACACACGGTGAAAAGGATATTCTGGGTTTGTATGGGGTTGAAAGGTCTAAATATCATAACATGATTGAAAGAAACTAGGGGAGAATTTCAGTGACTATTGATTTGTGGACTGCCACAAATCAGAAAATGGGGTATATGGTAGTAACTGGTCACTTTATTGACAACTCTTGGAAGCTTCGTAACATAATGTTGAGGTTTATGTATGTTCCAGCCCCTCACACTTGTCAAAGACTAGCTGATAGGTTGTTTGATTCTCTTCTTGATTGGAACATTGATTGTAAGTTGTCCTCAATCACACTGGACAACTGTACCACCAATGATTCAATGATATTTCATATGGAAATAAGCTTGTGAGCAGTGATGTATTGCTTGATGGTAAACTGATTCATATGAGGTGTTCAGCTCATATTCTAAATTTGATTGTGAGGGATGGTTTGGATGCAATCAAGGGTGCTATACATTTGATTAGGGAGAGTGTAGTCTACTGGAATTCTACACCTAAGAGAGTTCAAACCTTCTTCGAAGTTGTTAAGCAACTAAAGTTGACCTTTGAGAAAAAACTGGTACTTGATTGTCCAAGTAGATGGAATTCCAATTACCATATGCTCTTTGTTTCTCTTCAATATAAGGATGTTTTCTTTCGTTTGAGCTTGTGAGATAGTCAATACACATTTGTTCCTTCTAGTTTGCATTGGGAATTTGCATCTGTTGTGATTGATAAGCTGGAAATATTCTCTGAGATAACTCAGTTATTCTCTGGTTCCAAGTATCCGACTGCCAATCTTTTCTTCCCAAAGATTTGTGACTTGAGATTGAAACTGAATGAGTGGGGTCTTGATCCCAACCCTATCATTTTTGGAATGGCCAGTCAAATGTCTGAGAAGGTTTATAAGTACGGGGATGATATCCATCTTGTACTTGTTGTCTCGGTTGTTTTAGATCCTAGATATAAGATCCATGTGATTGAATACTATGTTGGGAAGTTTGGGAATACGGAAACCGACTTGGTTGCTGAGAATAGCAAGAAGATTATTTGTGGTTTGATCATTGATTATCAAACCAAAGCCGAGAAGAAGTCTGGTTCTGAAACTGAAACTTCTTTTGCTAGTTCTGGATCTGTCTCGGCTACTGAACTTGACTTTGAACTCTTTGTAAGTCAAAGGTAAAAGAGCAAGAGTTATTTGATTACTACTGAGTTGGATATGTATCTTGTCGAGGATATTATTCCTCAGACAACAGACTTTGATATGCTCTTGTGGTGGAAACTGAATGGTCTCAAGTATCCACCTTGCAAGCAATTGCAAGGGACTTTTTGGCAATCCCAATTACATTTGTTGCTTCTGAAAGGGCATTCAGTCCTGGTGGGAGGTTGTTAGACCTCACCAGAGCAGGCTTCATTATTCAACTGTTGAATCAATGATGTGCAGACGAAGTTGGATTATGGAAGACATGCAACGAGGTAGCATGCAAATGCAACTAAACCTCCAAATTCTAGTACAACTAATTTTGTTTACGTGTAAATAATATTTTTACATTTCTATTTGCATATTTGAAGGCTGCTGCTGCTGTGGAGGCATTGGAGGGAGTCTTCTCAACCCTGTCAGTCGAGGATACGACTGTGGAGGAGGCAGAACCCGGGGGTAAGAAAATCCCTTCTCCTTTTCTAAATTTTCTAACTCTGTTCATTGAGATTTGAGGCTGAACTAATATGATTTGCTACCTGGTTTTCAGATCCAGAAATGGTGTTCTTGTGATCACCATTTGGCCAGGAATCTGATCATATGCATCTGTCAAGCCAGGTATAACTTCAAATCATCTTCTCTTGTGTTGCAAGGACCTCGAGGTTGTTGCTAATTGTTAGGCTTAGGAACTTAACTAATAAGAATGCTTACTTGAATGTTTGTGCATACTTGCAATTGATCAATGTTGACTGCTTCTACTTGCTTTGGAATAAGACTCAGCCAAAGTTAGGATGGCTTGAAGTTACATCTTGCTCGAAGGAAGGCTGGTGTTACATTTGCTCTCAACATTTAGGATGGCTTGGAGTTTGTTTTACCTTAGTCAGCTAGTTGTTCTTGCTTTTGAATAAGATTCGGCAATCATGGTGCTGAGAATGGATGTTTTTTGTTGATTTCAAGTTCGAATTATTTAAAGTTTTTGTTGATTGTAACTTTGTTGAGTTCATGAGTTCTTGTTGTTGTTGATTTCAAGACTCGACAATCATTTATTAAGTTTTTTTATTTTATTGTAGCGGGAATCTTAGATCTGCGGGCACCCGAAATCCCAACGGTAACGAGGTTGGTGCCACTTCCAGACCTGTATCACCGTTTGGGCCGGGGCCAGGGAAACCCGAAGCCCATTGTGGGTGGGGGACGGATACAGGGTACCCGGTCCCGATCCGCCCCGTTGCCAAACCTAAGTCCAGTTCTTGTTGGTATGAGTGTGGTGTGGTTTAGACTTAGGTTCCGGATTTGGTCGATACCTTTTTTCCATATCGTGTATAATTTTTTAATTAAATCAAATTGATTATATTAATTATATTTCATTTGGAATTTAATTTTTTTATGGAAATCTCAAAATTACATTCAATTTGACATTTTTGGGGGAAAAAATTATGCACATATTATAATTTTATATAATGATGATAATATTTGGTAATAAGACAATACCAAGTAATATGAATATATCATATAGTATAGAATGATTACATGCATAATCATAATAGTAAGAATATATGAAACTCATATTTGGCCATGTTTTTCCAAAAATATATTGAATTTAATATTTAACGATGTACTAGTTCTGTCTGTGCAATTGTTTTCAAAATTTGAGTTAAATGAGAAAGCAATACAAGGTGGTAATGGTTGGTACGGAATTTTTTTCTTAATATATATTGTAAATGTATATAGTTTTGTTGTGCGCAATGAATATATTTCATCTATGAAACAAATTTCAAAATTTGAGTTAAAATAAAAAGATATATAGTTTTTTTTGGGTAAGGAAACGGGCGACAGAGCGCCCTAACAACTAATGGAGAATGAGTCTGGGAGTTTGACTCCCTACAAGATCAAAGAGCAGCCAGTGTTGTAGCAGCTGATCGGGGACTAGAATCGGATGAGTCCCGACCTGTAAAGTATGCCCTGTTGAAGCCAAGAAGTCCGCCACCACGTTGCCCTCCCTGTAAATGTGCTCAATCCGTACCTCCCAGTTGCGTTGCAGCATTCTCCGCACCTGCAACACAATATGGTAATGTGGGTGGGTATTGGTAGCTGCCTCGATGATCTGAATCGCCGCTCAAGAATCCGTT